CTCCCTCAACATCAACAAAACAAAGGATATGATCGTGGACTTCAGGAAACAGCAGAGGGTGCACCCCCCCTATCCACATCGGGACCGCAGTGGAGAAGGTGGAAAGCTTCAAGTTCCTTGGTGTACACATCACCGACAAACTGAAATGGTCCACCCACGCAGACAGTGTGGTGAAGAAGGCGCAACAGCCTCTTCAACCTCAGGAGGCTGAAGAAATGTGGCTTATCACCTAAAACCCTCACAAACTTTTACAGATACACAATTGAGAGCATCCTGTCGGGCTGTATCACCGCCTGGTACGGCAACTGCACCACCCACAACCGCAGGGCTCTCCAGAGGGTGGTGCGGTCTGCCGAACGCATTACCGGGGGCAAACTACCCGCCCTCCAAGACACATACAGCACTCGATGTCACAGGAAGGCCAAAAAGATCATCAAGGACATCAACCACCTGAGCCACTGCCTGTTCACCCCGCTATCATCCAGAAGGCGAGGTCAGTACAGGTGCATCAAAGCTGGGACCGAGAGAATGAAAAACAGCTTCTATCTCAAGGCCATCAGACTGTTAAATAGCCATCACTAGCACATTAGAGGCTGCTGCCGCCTATTGAAATCACTGGCCACTTTAAGAAATGGAACACTAGTCACTTTAATAATGTTTACATATCGTGCACTACTCATCTCATATGTGTATACTGCATTATATTCTATAATATTCTACTGTATCTTAGTCCATGCCACTCTGTCATTGCTTGTCCATATATGTACACTGCTCAAAAGAATAAAGGGAACACTAAAATAACACATCCTAGATCTGAATGAATGAAATAATCTTATTAATAACTTTTTTCTTTACATAGTTGAATGTGCTGACAACAAAATCACACAAAAATGATCAATGGAAATCAAATGTATCAACCCTTGGAGGTCTGGATTTGGAGTCACCTTCAAAATTTAAGTGGAAAACCACACTACAGGCTGATCCAACTTTGATGTAATGTCCTTAAAACAAGTCAAAATGAGGCTCAGTAGTGTGTGTGGCCTCCACGTGCCTGTGTGACCTCCCTACAACGCCTGGGCATGCTCCTGATGAGGTGGCGGATGGTCTCCTGAGGGATCTCCTCCCAGACCTGGACTAAAGCATCCGCCAACTCCTGGACAGTCTGTGGTGCAACGTGGCGTTGGTGGATGGAGCGAGACATGATGTCCCAGATGTGCTCAATTGGATTCAGGTCTGGGGAACGGGCGGGCCAGTCCATAGCATCAATGTCTTCCTCTTGCAGGAACTGCTGACACACTCCAGCCACATGAGGTCTAGCATTGTCTTGCATTAGGAGGAACCCAGGGCCAACCGCACCAGCATATGGTCTCACAAGGGGTCTGAGGATCTCATCTCAGTACCTAATGGCAGTCAGGCTACCTCTGGCGAGCACATGGAGGGCTGTGCGGCCCCCCAAAGAAATGCCACCCCACACCATGACTGACCCACCGCCAAACCGGTCATGCTGGAGGATGTTGCAGGCAGCAGAACGTTCTCCACGGCGTCTCCAGACTCTGTCACGTCTGTCACATGTGCTCAGCATGAACCTGCTTTCATCTGTGAAAAGCACAGGGCGACAGTGGCGAATTTGCCAATCTTGGTGTTCTCTGGCAAATGCCAAACGTCCTGCACGGTGTTGGGCTGTAAGCACAACCCCCACCTGTGGACGTCGGGCCCTCATACCACCCTCATGGAGTCTGTTTCTGACCGTTTGAGCAGACACATGCACATTTGTGGCCTGCTGGAGGTCATTTTGCAGGGCTCTGGCAGTGCTCCTCCTGCTCCTCCTTGCACAAAGGCGGAGGTAGCAGTCCTGCTGCTGGGTTGTTGCCCTCCTACGGCCTCCTCCACGTCTCCTGATGTACTGGCCTGTCTCCTGGTAGCGCCTCCATGCTCTGGACACTACGCTGACAGACACAGCAAACCTTCTTGCCACAGCTCGCATTGATGTGCCATCCTGGATGAGCTGCACTACCTGAGCCACTTGTGTGGGTTGTAGACTCCGTCTCATGCTACCACTAGAGTGAAAGCACCGCCAGCATTCAAAAGTGACCAAAACATCAGCCAGGAAGCATAGGAACTGAGAAGTGGTCTGTGGTCACCACCTGCAGAACCACTTCTTTATTGGGGGTGTCTTGCTAATTGCCTATAATTTCCACCTGTTGTCTATTCCATTTGCACAACAGCATGTGAAATGTATTGTCAATCATTGTTGCTTCCTAAGTGGACAGTTTGATTTCACAGAAGTGTGATTGACTTAGTTACATAGTGTTGTTTAAGTGTTCCCTTTATTTTTTTTTAGCAGTGTGTATATTCTTAAATCCCATTCCTTACTTTTTTGTGTGTATTTTTTGTGTGCACAAGCATTTCGCTACACCCGCTATAACATCTGCTAAACACGTGTAAGTGACAAATAAAATTTGATTTGATTTGACAGCTACATTTATTTTTTAAGCAATGCACTCTCCCCCATCCCCCTTTCTTGCACTCTCTCACTAGTTCTCTCTCTCCCTCCCCCTCTCCCCATCCCCCTTTCTTGCACTCACTCGTCCCTCCTCATCCCCCTCTCGCTCTCGCTCCATCTCTCTCTCAGGCGTTCTCTCGTTCTATCAGTCCACAGGGTTGTAATAGCATGGGAAACATGTTGCCAAAGCACATAACACACTACGCCGCCAAAGTGAGAAGAGAAAAAAAAAAACATCAACTCAAAACATAAGTAAATGTCCAGTTACATTATAACATTACACTCATAGTGTTCAAAAGGATTGACATTTCACATGTTATATTATCAGCTATGTACAGTGTTTTTAACAATGTGTGATAGTAGGGGAGTATAAATCAACCGATAAATATTGGAGGACTCCGGACCCCCTAAGCAAGGAGGATGGAATTGGTCAATCTTGCGGTTTAATACATGTACAACATGATCCACTTTCCCTAAAAGCATGATGGTCATGTTTGTGTGTGTGTGTGAGTGTGAGAGAGAGAGAGAGAGATTACTTGAAATCCATTCCCCCAGTGACTGTTAGTCGTACCCCCAGTGAATGAACTTTGTGACTGTTTCAGAGCGTCATGCGCTGACATTTAAAGTGACCTCTCACTTGTCCCTATGGATGGCCCATGACCGAACCCTCGCCATTTTACTCTGTGGATGGTGCTGACGGGTTGAGTGGGGGGAAAGAGAGATACCATGGGGGACAGGGAGCTAGACCAGGCCTGAGGAGATGGGTGGAAGCCAGAGGGCTAACATGAGGGCCAGGAGTCTGAAGCAAGCCTGAGGAGATGGGTGGAAGCCGGTGAGGAATCAGAGGAAAGGGTCAGGAGGACCATCATGGATGACCAGAGCTCCTGGGGGCCTACACTGTCAGCATTAGGGGATGACACAACTAGAAGTCCTCTGACGCTTCAACTCTGGATGATCAGAGAGAGAGAGAGTGCAAGAGTGGGATGTAGAGGAAGGGAGCGGGGGATGGAGGGAGGGAGAGCGGGAGAGAAAGGAGGGAGAGAGGGAGCTAAAGGGGGCCGAGAGGGAGCGAAGTGGGTGAGGGCAGGAGGAGTGGGAGTCAGGAAGTCTGAAGCTGAGGAGGATGGGTGGAAGCCGGTGAGGAATCAGAGGAAAGGTCAGGAGGACCATCAATGGATGACCAGGCTCCTGGGGGCCTACACTGTCAGCATAGGGATGACACAACTGAATCCTCTTACGCTTCTACTTGGATATCAGAGAGAATAGAGTGCAAGGTTTGGATGTATAGGAAGAGGGGGATGAGGGTGACTACAGGGAAGGAGTGTCCATAGGAGCTGAGTTGTCAGGGAGGGAGGATGAGCGAAGTGTTGAATACAGGGAAGGGAGTCCATATGAGTGTGTGACTGGAGGGAGTGCCATATGGAAGCTGGTGGGTTGATGGGAGGAGGTATATGTGGCTGGTTGATACAGGGAAGGGGATGTAGGAGGTGGGTGGTTGATACAGGGATCGGGGATGGAGGGGTGCTACAGAGTGTCCCATATGAGGTACGGGTGACTATCAGAAACGCCATATGGATAGGCTTTTGACTAGGACAGGGGAATGTGTTAGGGGGGGATGTGTTGACTACAGGGAAGGGAGTGTCCATATGGAGGCTGGTGTTGACTACAGGGAAGGGGAGTGTCCATATGGAGACTGGTTTGACTACAGGGAGGAGTGTCCATATGAGGCTGGTGTTGACTACAGGAAGGGAGTGTCCATATGGAGGCTGGTGTTGACTACAGGGAAGGGAGTGTCCATATGGAGGCTGTGTTGACTACAGGGAAGGGAGTGTCCATAGGGGAGGCTGGTGTTGACTACAGGGAAGGGAGTGTCCATATGGAGACTGGTGTTGACTACAGGGAAGGGAGTGTCCATATGGAGGCTGGTGTTGACTACAGGGAAGGGAGTGTCCATATGGAGGCTGGTGTTGACTACAGGGAAGGGAGTGTCCATATGGAGGCTGGTGTTGACTACAGGGAAGGGAGTGTCCATATGGAGGCTGGTTTTGTGTTGTGTTGACTACAGGAAGGGAGTGTCCATATGGAGGCTGGTTTTGTGTGTGTTCAAGAGGGAGTGTCCTAGAGGCTGTTTTTTTGTTGACTAAGGGAAGGGAGTGTCCATATGGAGGCTGGTTTTGTGTTGTGTTGACTACAGGGAAGGGAGTGTCCATATGGAGGCTGGTGTTGACTACAGGGAAGGGAGTGTCCATATGGAGGCTGGTGTTGACTACAGGGAAGGGAGTGTCCATATGGAGGCTGTGTTGACTACAGGGAAGGGAGTGTCCATATGGAGGCTGGTGTTGACTCAGGAGGTCCATGGGGTGTTAAGGGAGGGATGTCCATATGGAGGCTGGTGTTGACTACAGGGAAGGAGTGTCCATATGGAGACTGGTGTTGACTACAAGGAAGGGAGTGTCCATATGGAGCTGGTGTTGACTACAGGGAAGGGAGTGTCCATATGGAGGCTGGTGTTGACTACAGGGAAGGGAGTGTCCATATGGAGGCTGGTGTTGACTACAGGAAGGGAGTGTCCATATGGAGGCTGGTGTTGACTACAGGGAAGGGAGTGTCCATATGGAGGCTGGTGTTGACTACAGGGAAGGGAGTGTCCATATGGAGGCTGGTGTTGACTACAGGGAAGGGAGTGTCCATATGGAGGCTGGTGTTGACTACAGGGAAGGGAGTGTCCATATGGAGGCTGGTGTTGACTACAGGGAAGGGAGTGTCCATATGGAGACTGGTGTTGACTACAGGGAAGGGAGTGTCCATATGGAGGCTGGTGTTGACTACAGGGAAGGGAGTGTCCATATGGAGGCTGGTGTTTGACTACAGGGAAGGGAGTGTCCATATGGAGGCGTTTGGTGTGTTGACTACAGGGAAGGGAGTGTCCATATGGAGGCTGGTTTTGTGTTGTGTTGACTACAGGGAAGGGAGTGTCCATATGGAGGCTGGTTTTGTGTTGTGTTGACTACAGGGAAGGGAGTGTCCATATGGAGGCTGGTTTTGTGTTGTGTTGACTACAGGGAAGGGAGTGTCCATATGGAGGCTGGTTTTGTGTTGTGTTGACTACAGGGAAGGGAGTGTCCATATGGAGGCTGGTTTTGTGTTGTGTTGACTACAGGGAAGGGAGTGTCCATATGGAGGCTGGTTTTGTGTTGTGTTGACTACAGGGAAGGGAGTGTCCATATGGAGGCTGGTTTTTGTGTTGTGTTGACTACAGGGAAGGGAGTGTCCATATGGAGGCTGGTTTTGGTGTTGACTACATGGGAAGGGAAGTGTCCATATGGAGGCTGGGGTGTTGTGTTGACTACATGGAAGGGAGTGTCCATATGGAGGCTGGTGTTGACTACAGGGAAGGGAGTGTCCATATGGAGGCTGGTTTTGTGTTGTGTTGACTACAGGGAAGGGAGTGTCCATATGGAGGCTGGTTTTGTGTTGTGTTGTGTACAGGGAAGGGAGTGTCCATATAGAGGCTGGTTTTGTGTTGTGTTGTGTTGTGTACAGGGAAGGGAGTGTCCATATGGAGGCTGGTTTTGTGTTGTGTTGACTACAGGGAAGGGAGTGTCCATATGGAGGCTGGTGTTGTGTTGACTACAGGGAAGGGAGTGTCCATATGGAGGCTGGTTTTGTGTTCACTACAGGGAAGGGAGTGTCCATATGGAGGCTGGTGTTGACTACAGGGAAGGGAGTGTCCATATGGAGGCTGGTGTTGACTACAGGGAAGGGAGTGTCCATATGGAGGCTGGTGTTGTTGACTACAGGGAAGGGAGTGTCCAATTGGAGGCTGGCTTTGTATATCATATGGTTATATAGGATTAGTCATCAGACTAGGATTGACAGATATTTGGCTAACGAGACAGTATGTTGACGCACTACAAATGTCTAATTAGCTTCAAATGACTGTTACATCAGCTATATTTATCAGTTGAGAATAGACATGATAGAGTTAAGTAATTTTGTGATGGTTGAAGCCAGTCATGCATGCAGTGTTTCTTCTCCCAGGGTTTTCAGCCTATAGGCTGTCTCCCAGATGACACCCTATTCCCTATATAGTGCACTACTTTTGACCAGATCCTTATGGGGACCTCATGAAAAGTAGTGCAACAAATAAAGAATAAGGTTATATTGGGGGATGCAGCCATATAGGCCTGGGAGAGCACAGCTATTTAACCAGTTGATGGACCACAGCCGTTGAAACATTACATGGACCACAGCCGTTGAACCAGTTGACGGACCACAGCGGTTGAACCAGTTGATGCACTATGAACCCAACAGGTTATGATGCACTATGAACCCAACAGGTTATGATGCACTATGAACCCAACAGGTTATGATGCACTATGAACCCAACAGGTTATGATGCACTATGAACCCAACAGGTTATGATGCACTATGAACCCAACAGGTTATGATGCACTAGGAACCCAACAGGTTATGTGGCGATGCGCTTTACATAGGAATCCCCTGCTTGGCTGATGCTACATCACTACCTCAGGGCTCTTACCCTATTCCCTACCGTTGACCAGGGCCCATAGACGTTCTCCTGTTAAAACGAGTCACAGCCTGTTATCTCTTTAGTTTACACTGTCGGCCTCATTCCAGTCTGAACATTTACTTTGTTTTCTCATTCTGTGTCCTAAGTGACTTTCACATCATCCTATGATGACTAGGTAGGTGAATGCAGCAATATGACTGACACATTAGCTAAGGAATCTGTAGGAAACTACACCTAATGTAGAATCACTTACAGTGGGGAGAAAAAAAAGTATTTAGTCAGCCACCAATTGTGCAAGTTCTCCCACTTAAAAAGATGAGAGAGGCCTGTAATTTTCATCATAGGTACACGTCAACTATGACAGACAAATTGAGGAAAAAAAATCCAGAAAATCACATTGTAGGATTTTTAATGAATTTATTTGCAAATTATGGTGGAAAATAAGTATTTGGTCACCTACAAACAAGCAAGATTTCTGGCTCTCACAGACCTGTAACTTCTTCTTTAAGAGGCTCCTCTGTCCTCCACTCGTTACCTTTATTAATGGCACCTGTTTGAACTTGTTATCAGTATAAAAGACCTGTCCACAACCTCAAACAGTCACACTCCAAACTCCACTATGGCCAAGACCAAAGAGCTGTCAAAGGACACCAGAAGCAAAATTGTAGACCTGCACCAGGCTGGGAAGACTGAATCTGCAATAGGTAAGCAGCTTGGTTTGAAGAAATCAACTGTGGGAGCAATTATTAGGAAATGGAAGACATACAAGACCACTGATAATCTCCCTCGATCTGGGGCTCCACGCAAGATCTCACCCCGTGGGGTCAAAATGATCACAAGAACGGTGAGCAAAAATCCCAGAACCACACGGGGGGACCTAGTGAATGACCTGCAGAGAGCTGGGACCAAAGTAACAAAGCCTACCATCAGTAACACACTACGCCGCCAGGGACTCAAATCCTGCAGTGCCAGACGTGTCCCCCTGCTTAAGCCAGTACATGTCCAGGCCCGTCTGAAGTTTGCTAGAGTGCATTTGGATGATCCAGAAGACGATTGGGAGAATGTCATATGGTCAGATGAAACCAAAATAGAACTTTTTGGTAAAACTCAACTCGTCGTGTTTGGAGGACAAAGAATGCTGAGTTGCATCCAAAGAACACCATATCTACTGTGAAGCATGGGGGTGGAAACATCATGCTTTGGGGCTGTTTTTCTGCAAAGGGACCAGGACGACTGATCCGTGTAAAGGAAAGAATGAATGGGGCCATGTATCGTGAGATTTTGAGTGAAAACCTCCTTCCATCAGCAAGGGCATTGAAGATGAAACGTGGCTGGGTCTTTCAGCATGACAATGATCCCAAACACACCTCCCGGGCAACGAATGAGTGGCTTCGTAAGATGCATTTCAAGGTCCTGGAGTGGCCTAGCCAGTCTCCAGATCTCAACCCCATAGAACATCTTTGGAGGGAGTTGAAAGTCCGTGTTGCCCAGCGATAGCCCCAAAACATCACTGCTCTAGAGGAGATCTGCATGGAGGAATGGGCCAAAATACCAGCAACAGTGTGTGAAAACCTTGTGAAGACTTACAGAAAACGTTTGACCTGTGTCATTGCCAACAAAGGGTATATAACAAAGTATTGAGAAACTTTTGTTATTGACCAAATACTTATTTTCCACCATAATTTGCAAATAAATTCATTACAAATCCTACAATGTGATTTTCTGGATTTTTTTTTTCTCGTTTTGTCTGTCATAGTTGACGTGTACCTATGATGAAAATTACAGGCCTCTCTCATCTTTTTAAGTGGGAGAACTTGCACAATTGGTGGCTGACTAAATACTTTTCCCCCCCACTGTAGCTAGTATAGAGTTTTCTGCCATATTTCTTTACCCCCTCATATTAAGGGTTAGCCAAAAATGTTCTGCTACATTGAAGGTCCCCAAGAACACAGTGGCTTCCATCATTCTTAAATGGAAGAAGTTTGGAACCACCAAGAGTCTTCCTAGAACTGGCCGCCTGGCCAAACTGAGCAATCGGGGGAGAAGGGCCTTGGTCAGGGAGGTGACCAAGAACCCGATGGTCACTCTAACAGCGCTCCAGAGTTCCTCTGTGGAGATGGGAGAACCTTCCAGAAGGACAACCATCTCTGCAGCACTCCACCAGTCAGGGCTTTATGGTAGAGTGGCCAGATGGAAGCCACTCCTCAGTAAAAAGCACATGACAGCCCGCTTGGAGTTTGCCAAAAGGTACCTAAATGACTCTGACCATGAGAAACAAGATTCTCTGGTCTGATGAAACCAAGATTGAACTCTTTGGCCTGACTGTCAAGCGTCACATCTGGAGGAATCCTGGCACCATTCCTACGGTGAAGCATGGTGGTGGCAGCATCATGCTGTGGGGATGTTTTTCAGCGGCAGGGACTGGGAGACTAGTCGGGATCGAGGGAAAGATGAACGGGGCAAAGTACAGAGAGATCCTTGATGAAAACCTGCTCCAGAGCGCTCAGGAACTTAGACTGGGGTGAAGTTTCACCTTCCAACAGGACAACGACCCTAAGCACACAGCCAAGACAACGCAGGAGTTGCTTCGGGACAAGTCTCTGAATGTCCTTGAGTGGCCCAGCCAGAGCCCGGACTTGAACCCGATCGAACATCTCTGGAGAGACCTGAAAATAGCTGTGCAGCGACGCTCCCCATCCAACCTGACAGAGCTTGAGAGGATCTGCAGAGAAGAATGGGAGAAACTTGCTTGTAGCGTCATACCCAAGAAGACTCGAGGCTGTAATCGCTGCCAAAGCTGCTTCAACAAAGTACTGAGTGAAGGGTCTGAATAGTAAATGTGATTGCAGTTCTTTCTGTTTAATACATTTGCAAACATTTCTAAAAACCTGTTTTTGCTTTGTCATTATGGGGTATTGTGTGTAGATTTAACCCATTTTAGAATAAGTCTGTAATGTAACAGTATTTTGTAAAAAGGTCAAGGGGTCTGAATATTTTCTGAATGCACTCAGACCCTTCACTTTATTTAGGACCCACGAATGGGTGTTGGGCCACGCCCACTGACTTGTATTCCTCCAGCAGCCTAGATATTGTTTCCCCCCTCTTCCTTTCACTCCCTTGTTCTCTCTGTGCCGTCAGTGGGGTTTTGTATTCAGGGGGGTTTATGGTGGAGGGAGGGAGTTTCCCTCTCTGGTGGATAGAGAAACATTTACTGCGCCAGACTCCGGACTAGTTAACACACCGTACCAGAGATGTAGACCAGTCTGTGTCTGTTTCACTCCTTCTTCCACTCTCTTTACGGAGTTTGTCAACTTTAAGCCTGCTCTGTATCACTTGTGTAATAGAGGCATGTTTCACTGTCTGTCTATCAGACTACTGTTCTTTGTTTCCCCTAGGGGGTTTTTCAGCAGCGGTGGAAAAGTTAGCGTGGGGGGGGGGGGAGTCTAACAGTGATTGTTTGTTCTCAAAGATGATATTATTTATAAATATATACCTCCATTATATTTTCTACATACTTTATATCTGATTTTAGTCTTAACTTTACACTGAAAACGTTTACCGTCCCCCCAAATTGTTATAAAATTAATAATATAACATGCTGTGTGTGAGACTGTAATGATGTGCAGTGTGTATGTAAGTGTGAGACTGACTGTTTCTGTGTCTAGGTGGCCAACCTGGCGTGCTCCATCTCTAATAATGAGGAGGGAGTGAAGCTGGTCCGTATGGCTGCTTCCCAGCTGGAGACACTCTGCCCCCAGGTACCTGCCGGTCTCTCTACCCACTCACTCACTCTCTCCTTCCTCTCCTCTTCTCTACCGATTTCTCCTTCCTCTCCCGGTCTCCCACTCTCTCTACCCAGCTCTCCTCCTACCCAGCACTCCTTCTACCCAGCTCCCCTTCCTCTTTGCCCCTCTCCCATCTCCATTGCCTCTCAGCTCATCCCCAACCTTCAGGTACTTCCCAGCTGCAAAACCTGCATCCCCTGCCCCCACCCTTCAGCCCCTGCCCCCACCCTTCAGCCCCTGCCCCCACCCTTCAGCCCCTTTCTACTACCCAACCTCCAGCTCCATAGCCCTGCCAAGCTGCCAACACTTCACACCTCCAGCCCCCCCATCCCTCTTCCCACATCCCTGCCAGTTTTACTTCCTCATCCAACCTCCAGCCACATAACCTGCCAACACGTAACCCCTTTAAGGCCCCTTCTCTCCCCTCAGCTGTGCCAGCCCTACAGCTAGCCAACCCCCCCACCACGCCAGCCTATAGCTAGCCAACCCCCCACCACGCCAGCCTATAGCTAGCCAACCCCCCACCACGCCAGCCTATAGCTAGCCAACCCCCCACCACGCCAGCCTGTAACTCCACCAGTCATATTGCTGAAACCTCCAGTGCCTAGAGGCTAAGGGTTGGTTTGGGAATCAAAGATGGCTCTGCCAACCTTCATTCCATCCTACCTACAGCCCTTCCAGTTCCCAGTTGAGAGGCAAGATCTCATCTGACTTTCAGGATCCTTCAATTCAAAGTCCCATTAACCAGCTCAGCAAACCTTATGTCAAAATACGTTCGGTACTCACCAGAATATAGAGTTTCGCAGAGCAACCGTCGTCATTACTGCCGTTACGCACATCACTTAATTCCCAAAAGGTATCTAAATGAAATCCACCTTCAGCTCCTCCAGTAAAATCACTAACTACTGTCACACACTGATCGGCTGATCCAGCAGCGGTACAGGTCGGCTGATCCGGCAGCGGTACAGGTCGGCTGATCCGGCAGTAGCGGTACAGGTCGGCTGATCCGGCAGTAACAGTACAGGTCGGCTGATCCGGCAGTAGCGGTACAGGTCGGCTGATCCGGCAGTAGCGGTACAGGTCGGCTGATCCGGCAGTAGCGGTACAGGTCGGCTGATCCGGCAGTAGCGGTACAGGTCGGCTGATCCGGCAGTAGCGGTACAGGTCGGCTGATCCGGCAGTAGCGGTACAGGTCTGCTGATCCGGCAGTAGCGGTACAGGTCTGCTGATCCGGCAGTAGCGGTACAGGTCTGCTGATCCGGCAGTAGCGGTACAGGTCTGCTGATCCGGCAGCAGCGGTACAGGTCGGCTGATCCGGCAGCAGCGGTACAGGTCGGCTGATCCGGCAGCAGCGGTACAGGTCGGCTGATCCGGCAGCAGCGGTACAGGTCGGCTGATCCGGCAGCAGCGGTACAGGTCGGCTGATCCGGCAGCAGCGGTACAGGTCGGCTGATCCGGCAGCAGCGGTACAGGTCGGCTGATCCGGCAGTAGCGGTAACAGGTCGGCTGATCCGCAGTAGCGGTACAGGTCTGGCTGATCCGGCAGTAGCGGTACAGGTCGGCTGACCGGCAGTAGGCGGTACAGGTCTGGCTGATCCGGCAGTAGCGGTACAGGTCTGCTGATCCGGCATAGCGGTACAGGTCTGCTGATCGCGCAGCAGCGGTACAGGTCGGCTGATCCGGCAGCAGCGGTACAGGTCGGCTGATCCGGCAGCAGCGGTACAGGTCGGCTGATCCGGCAGCAGCGGTACAGGTCGGCTGATCCGGCAGCAGCGGTACAGGTCGGCTGATCCGGCAGCAGCGGTACAGGTCGGCTGATCCGGCAGCAGCGGTACAGGTCGGCTGATCCGGCAGCAGCGGTACAGGTCGGCTGATCCGGCAGCAGTACAGTGTCCCGAAAGATCATTGATTTACATTTTAATTGAGACCTTTTTTGGAAGTAAATATGGAGCGTAACAGCAGTAATGATGATAGTTGGTGAGTACAGAGCGTATTTTCACATAATATTTGCAGAGCTGGTTAATGGGACTTTGAATTGAAGGATCCTGGGCGTCAGATGAGATCTCGTCAAATGAATCAAGCCCAGGTACTGGTTCATCTCTAGCCTTGCCAACATCCACCCCCTCATCCTTATACCCCTAGCTCAGTCAGCCTCAGCTCAGTCCCTCATCTACCTATACCATTAGCCCTCTCCTGAAATAGATCTCTAACCTACAATTCTTCTGGTTAAATAAATGCTTAAATGAAAGCAATAATAGCCATGCCATGGCTGCCCACCTACAGTATTACATCTCTATTCAACCAAGCCTTGTCCCTCAAACCCTAATCCTAAGCCCTGCCAACCCTCTCCTTTCCAGTCTGCCTCTCTCTCTCTCCCCTCCCCCTCTCTCCCCTCCCCCTCCCCCCCTCCCCCCCCTTTTCCCCCCCCCCCCCCCCCTCCTCTCCCCCCCCCCCTCTCCCCCCCTTCCTCTTCCCTCCCCCTCTCTCCCCCCCCCTCTCTCCCCCCCCCTTCCTCCTCCCCCCCCTCCCCCCCCCCCCCCTCTCTCTCCCCCCCTCTCTCCCCCCTCTCCCCCCCCCCCCCCCCTCTTTTCCCCCCCTCTCTTCCCCCCCCCTCCCCCCCCCTTCTCCCCCCCCTCTCTCCCCCCCCTCCCCCCCCCCCCCCCTCTCTCTCCCTTTCCCCCTCCTTTTTCCCTTTTTTTTTTCCTTTCCCACTCTCTCCCCCCTTCCTTCCCCCTTCTCTTTTTTCCCCTTTTTTGGCCTCCCCCTCCTCCTTTTCCCCCCCCTTTTTCCCGGGAAAACCCCTTTTTTTTCCCCCCTCCCCTTCCTTAATCCCCCAAATTTTCCCCCAAAAAAAAATGGAAAACTTTCACCCCTTTTGTAAACCTCACCACAAATGCCCCTTTTACCCCCCGGGGTTTTGGGGGGTGGGGGGGGCCTTCCCCGGGGGGGGCAGGGTGGGGGGTTTTTAAATTTCTTTGGGGGTTTCCCGGGGTTTTTTGGCTGGGGGAACATTTTCCCCCCTGGGCTTTTAAAGGTTTTCCCCCCGCCCCGGTTTTAAAAAACCCCGGGGGGGTTTTGCGGGGAAACGGTTTTTTTCTTTCTTTGTTTGCTTAAAACAATTTTTTTTTCTTCCCCCCTTTTTACCCCTCTTTGGGGAAATTCCCCCTTTTTTAAACCCTTTTTTATTTTTAAAACTCAACTTTCCAAACTAAAAAAAAACTTTTTCAAAAAATTTAAAATTTTTCCCAAAAAAGGGGGGCCCCCAAAAAAAATTTGCCCCCGAATTTTTTTTTCTTTTTGGGGGTTTTTCCCCCTGGGGGGAAAAAAGGAAAAAATTTTTTTTTTGGGCCCCCTTTTTTCAATTTTGGGGGAAAAGGGGAAAGGGAAAACTCTCCCTTAAACGTCTCTCTGCTCGCTCTCTTCGTCTTTCGTCTCTCTCTCTCTCTCTCTCTCTCTCTCACAGTGCTGACTCTTTAATATCACCTAATGCTTCCATTCATCCTCAGCGTTAGTCTCACCACATGTATTTCCCCAAGAAAACAAGCTGTTTCTCATTCACTCCATTCACCCTTTTTCCCAGTTAATCACTCCTACTCATCAATTAGCCCCCATACAAACACTGTTGTGAATACTGTTGCCAAAACACAGTGGGTGGGGGGTATTCCAGGTCACAACACAATCAGCCCTATGCTAATGTTGTTGTGGCTGTGTGTGGGGGTGTATGTGTTGGTCTGTCTGTGAGTGTGCTGGTCTGAGGCGCTAATCTGGTCTTTAGTATAAGGAATGTGTAATGCATCTAATCCATCTAATGCTGTAGTAATTGGTGTAACAGGTGATTAATGCAGCTCTGGCGCTAGCTGCGAAGCCCAACAGTAAGGTTGCTCAGGACAACATGGACCTCTTCAAAGACTCCTGGGAGAAACAGGTCCGCGTCCTCACTGATGCCGTCGATGACATCACTAGCATCGACGACTTCCTCTGTGTGTCCGGTAAGTGGGAGCGGGCGGAGCTTTCTTTTCAGGGTTAATCTCATTTGCATGTGCTAATGAAAACAGTCTTCTGGTAAATGCAAAGGTTTTCCCAAAAACCTTCTCAGTTAATGAACTACAAAGTGGCCTATACTTAGCTGGCAAAATCATATCATGATTATTTTCATCAATCCAGTTGGTATTTGTTTCCCAAAACTCTACCAACATGTGCTACAAAAACACAGCTAAACAACAACCTATTGCTAGGTGCACAATGCAATTACATTTCCAAAAGATTTTCCCAGACCTCAACAGGGGTCTCCTGATAATGGTTAAAGCGTTGTTGTGGACTTAGAACTTCCACTTGAGTTGTTCTATTTATAAAGGGTGATTTGAGAGCGAAAACCTGGAGAAAAACAAAACGGGAAAACGGAAACCTAGAAAAACAATATGGACAAAACAGATTTTTTTCCCAATTTGGGGGAAAAACGGAATCAGGCAAAGAAATTCAGATTTTATAGTGTTCTAAGAGTCTTAATTGGACACCATAGCAAAACGTTTTGAAATCAAACAATAATTTGTTACTGGACAAGTTCTGGTAGTGCCTCCCGTTAGCTTCCAATTGGTTCCTAGTGAATACACCCCTGGTGAGGAAGGAAGGGTTCCTAGTGAATATACCCCTGGTGAGGAAGGAAGGGTTCCTAGTGAATACACCCCTGGTGAGGAAGGAAGGAAGAGTGTTAATTAGCCTCATGTCTGTAGATGGTAGACACTGTTTAGATATATTTGCTCCTTTAGTGTTGAGTCGTGTTAAGCATAGACTGAGCTGTGGAGAATAGCGCTATTAGTCTTCTCTAATGTAACACAGCCGCCTGATTTGGCTTCCTGCCTCAGCCAGACAGGAGCACAGAGGATGCTTCCCAAATAGCACCCTATTCCCTATATAGTGCAATACTTTTGACCAGAGCCCCTCGGGAGAAGCTCAAACCGCTCTGGTCAAAAGTAGTTCACTATGTAGCGAAAGGGGTGCTATTTGGGACTGCTGGATGCTGAGCTGAGAGAATTGACATCCTGTCATGTACAGGGCTCTACAGTGCGACCATTTTACTTACATGTGCAACTAAATATTTTGCTGTGCGACCCAGAATTTGTATTTAGAAGCACCAGTGCGCCTAGAAAAAAATAAGGATTCTAGCGTTAATATCTAAAATATATTTTTCATTGTGCTCCTAACTGTCTTTGTGTGAGCCTACATTTTTCAACTTAGGCACGCACGTGCTCCTTGTAAAATAGGTCAGCGTAGAGCCCTGATGTATGTAAAGACTATGGAACAAACTGCTAGTCTTGTCAGGTTGTGGTGACAGGTAACTTAGTGGTTAAGAGCGTTGTGCCAGTAACCGAAAGGTCGCTGGTTCTAATCCCCGAGCCGACTAGGTGTAAAATCTGTCGGTGCCCTTAAGCAAGGCACTTAACCCTAATTGCTCATGTATGTCGCTCTGGATAAGAGCGTCTGCTAAATGACTAAAAATGTAAATGTAAAATGTGGCGAAGCATTGAGATAGCTGGGCCTTAAACAGGCCTCATTATGCAGTAAACACGGTGACTCCTCTCACCTCCAAACCGAGGACACACTGACGAGGCCCAAATGGTTCCCACATTGGGGCCATACGGTGGGTAGTGCACTATATAGGGAATAGGGTTCCATTTGGGACGCCCACTCAGACTGGCTGGTTGCTTTACACAGAGAGACATAAGCAAGCTGATAGGATGAGAGGACGGCTCTTCCGTTAATAGGGAGTAGCCGTTTGTCGTCTCCCCCCCCCCCCGTGTTAATCCAGGGACGATGCTAACACATCCGCCATGAAGGATGAAGATTTCTCTCTTTTAAACATCACTCTGTTACCGCAGACGCTGCCTGTCCATGTCACCGGGACTGTGTAGGTAACCAAGTAAAAAAATATAATAACATTACCTCTCATCTTGTCTCGCATAAAGAGGGTGAAAGCAGGATTCTTGTAGCTCGTCTGGCAGACCGTGTCCCCCCAAACAAACACTTTAGAGTTTCAGTAGGATTGTCCGCTACCTATGGAGTTAGTTTTAACCATGACACTTTCTGATGCTTCTGCTTGTTCTGTAGGAGTTGAGATTCAGAACCCAGTTTTTTTTATAATAGGCTCTATATGAATAAACATTGGTTGATTTTTGTATCTTCCCTTCCAGAGAACCACATTCTGGAGGACGTGAACAAGTGTGTGATAGCACTGCAGGAGAAGGATGTGGACGGGCTGGACCGTACGGCCGGGGCCATCCGGGGCCGCGCTGCCAGAGTGGTCCATGTGGTCACATGTGAGATGGACAACTATGAACCTGGAGTCTACACAGAGAAGGTTCTGGAGGCCACCAAGCTACTCACTAACACAGGTAACATCTCTCTCTCTCTTTCTCTGATCACATTTTCTTTCTATCTCCTCTTCTTCTCTCTCTGCTAGTGACCGACACAGGTAACAGATAGTCCGGCATATCTCTTGTATTTTCTTATTCTCTCCATCTAATACACTACCAGTCAAAAGTTTGGACACACACCTACTCATTCAAGGGTTTTTCTTTATTTTTTACTGTTTTCTACATTGTAGAATAATAGTGAAGACATCAAAACTATGAAATAACACATATGGAATCATGTAGTAACCAAAAAATAGTTAAACAAATCAAAATATATTTTATATTTGAGATTCTTCAAATAGCCACCCTTTGCCTTGATGACAGGTTTGCAAACTCTTGGCATTCTCTGAACCAGCTTCATGAGGTAGTCACCTGGAATGCATTTCAATTAACAGGTGTGCCTGTTTCTTCAAGTGCAGTCTCAAAAACCATCAAGCACTATGATGAAACTGGCTCTCATGAGGACCGCCACAGGAATGGAAGACCCAGAGTTACCTCTGCTGCAGAGGATAAGTTCATTAGAGTTACCAGCCTCAGAAATTGCAGCCCAAAAAATTGCTTCACAGAGTTCAAGTAACAGACACATCTCAACATCAACTGTTCAGAGGAGACTGTGTGAATCAGGCCTTCATGGTCGAATTGCTGCAAATTAACCACTACTAAAGAAACCAGTACTATATCTCCCCTACCTTGTCACAACACAACTGATTGGCTCAAACACATTTAGAATGAAATAAATTCCACAAATTAACTTTTAAGAATGCACACCTGTTAATTGAAATGCATTCCAGGTGACTACCTGATGAAGCTGGTTGAGAGAATGCCAAGCGTGTGCAAAGCTGTCATCAAGGCAAAATGGTGGCTACTTTGAAGATTATCAAATATATTTTCATTTGTTTAATGCTTTTTTGGTTACTACATGATTCCATATGTGTTATTTCATAGTTTTGATTTCTTCACTATTATTCTACAATGTAGAAAATAGTAAAAATATGAATGAGTAGGTGTGCCCAAACTTTTGACTGGTACTGTATTTATATGATATTCTCTCACCGACCGTCATTGTCTTTTTCTTTCTCTGTTGGTTGTCTTTACCTCTGTCTATACCAGTGGTACAGGTATCAGAGAGGGTGAGAGAGGGATCAGGCTAAACCAACCACCTAATACTTTTATAGATTGACTGCTGGGTTGAGTTTCTCAATCACACAACACACCCCCTGCTCCCTCTATTTCTCTCCTCTATCTCTCCCTACCTCCTCTCCCTCGCTCCTGCTCTCTCCTCTCCTTACCTTGCCCCCCTCCCCTGATCCCTCCTCTCTCAAACATTCTCCTCCATGAAAGCTTTCTGTAATCACTACAGCTAGCTAGGCCCTCCCCTGATCCCTCCTCTCTCAAACATTCTCCTCCATGAAAGCTTTCTGTAATCACTACAGCTAGCTAGGCCCTCCCCTGATCCCTCCTCTCTCAAACATTCTCCTCCATGAAAGCTTTCTGTAATCACTACAGCTAGCTAGGCCCTCCCCTGATCCCTCCTCTCTCAAACATTCTCCTCCATGAAAAGCTTTCTGTAATCACTACAGCTAGCTAGGCCCTCCCCTGATCCCTCCTCTCTCAAACATTCTCCTCCATGAAAGCTTTCTGTAATCACTACAGCTAACTAGGCCCTCCCCTGATCCCTCCTCTCTCAAACATTCTCCTCATGAAAGCTTTCTGTAATCACTACAGCTAGCTAGGCCCTCCCTGATCCCTCCTCTCTCAAACCATTCTCCTCCATGAAAGCTTTCTGTAATCACTACAGCTAGCTAGGCCCTCCCCTGATCCCTCCTCTCTCAAACATTCTCCTCCATGAAAGCTTTCTGTAATCACTACAGCTAGCTAGGCCTTCATTAGCTTTCTGTAATCACTACAGCTAGCTAGGCCTTCATTAGCTTTCTGTAATCACTACAGCTAGCTAGGCCTTCATTAGCTTTCTGTAATCACTACAGCTAGCTAGGCCTTCATTAGCTTTCTGTAATCACTACAGCGAGCTAGGCCTTCATTAGCTTTCTGTAATCACTACAGCTAGCTAGGCCTTCATTAGCTTTCTGTAATCACTACAGCTAGCTAGGCCTTCATTAGCTTTCTGTAATCACTACAGCTAGCTAGGCCTTCATTAGCTTTCTGTAATCACTACAGCTAGCTAGGCCTTCATTAGCTTTCTGTAATCACTACAGCTAGCTAGGCCTTCATTAGCTTTCTGTAATCACTACAGCTAGCTAGGCCTTCATTAGCTTTCTGTAATCACTACAGCTAGCTAGGCCTTCATTAGCTTTCTGTAATCACTACAGCTAGCTAGGCCTTCATTAGCTTTCTGTAATCACTACAGCTAGCTAGGCCTTCATTAGCTTTCTGTAATCACTACAGCTAGCTAGGCCTTCATTAGCTTTCTGTAATCACTACAGCTAGCTAGGCCTTCATTAGCTTTCTGTAATCACTACAGCTAGCTAGGCCTTCATTAGCTTTCTGTAATCAGCTAGCTAGGCCTTCATTAGCTTTCTGTAATCACTACAGCTAGCTAGGCCTTCATTAACTATTCAAAGGCCAGTCAGGTTTGTTTTTCAGGATTAAAACCAACAATCTTTGTTTCTTTATTGGGGAGGCAGAGTTTAGCTAGTTGTGATCTTTATAAAGGAGCTCATTGATATTCATTGCAAATGTTGAGGCCTCTTGTGACTGAGTGAGTGACTGTGTGAGTGACTATCTATGTGTGTTTGAGTGTGTGTATTGGTCTATGTCATAGCACCCTTTGATGGTCCTGTCACCTTGGGGTCTGTATCAAATGGAGGATTAGAGGGGGACTGGGAACTGAGGCACCACAGCTCCAAATAAGCTCCCTGCACACTTGGGATGAGTCCCAAATGGCTCCCTATGTCCTATATAGTGCACTACTTAAAACAACAAAAACAAGAGTGGACTCCATATTGTGGATTCGGTCATGTTCTATGTTGGTGCTGCTGCTCACACCCACACACTGAGCTGGAGACGATGGGTATTCGTCTCAGCTCAGCTGTCTGAGCCTGCTTTTGGTCTTTATGATCACTTGGCTATGGAGCTATGGGCTGGTTAGCATCTTAGCTATGGGCTGGGTAGCCTGTTGGCTAGGGGCTGGGTAGCATTTTAGCTATGGGCTGGGTAGCATTTTAGCTATGGGCTGGGGAGCATGTTAGCTATGGGCTGGGGAGCATGTTAGCTATGGGCTGGGGAGCATGTTAGCTATGGGCTGGGGAGCCTGTTGGCTAGGGGCTGGGTAGCATGTTGGCTAGGGGCTGGGTAGCATCTTAGCTATGGGCTGGGTAGCCTGTTGGCTAGGGGCTGGGTAGCATTTTAGCTATGGGCTGGGTAGCATTTTAGCTATAGGCTGGGGAGCATGTTAGCTATGGGCTGGGGAGCATCTTAGCTAGGGGCTGGGAGGCATCTTAGCTATGGGCTGGGTAGCCTGTTGGGTAGGGGCTGGGGAGCATCTTAGCTAGGGGCCTGGGAGCATCTTAGCTATGGGCTGGGGAGTGTCTTAGCTATGGGCTGGGTAGCATCTTAGCTATGGGCTGGGTAGCATCTTAGCTAGGGGCTGGGTAGCATCTTAGCTAGGGGCTGGGTAGCATCTTAGCTAGGGGCTGGGGAGCATCTTAGCTAGGGGCTGGGTAGCATCTTAGCTAGGGGCTGGGTAGCATCTTAGCTATGGGCTGGGTAGCCTGTTGGCTAGGGGCTGGGTAGCATCTTAGCTATGGGCTGGGTAGCCTGTTGGCTAGGGGCTGGGTAGCATCTTAGTTAGGGGCTGGGTAGCCTGTTGGCTAGGGGCTGGGTAGCCTGTTGGCTAGGGGCTGGGTAGCCTGTTGGCTAGGGGCTGGGTAGCCTGTTGGCTAGGGGCTGGGTAGCCTGTTGGCTAGGGGCTGGGTAGCCTGTTGGCTAGGGGCTGGGTAGCCTGTTGTTAGTGACGGGCTGGGTTGCATGTTAGCTACAGTATGGTTTTGGCCTACACGGAGTCAGACCTGTCATTCTGTATCATGGGGTTTTCTGCTGTTTTCACACTTATTTACTGTGTACAATAGATACAGCATTACACATTTGACATCCCACCCCTTGGTTCTCCCACCTTCTCCAGTCATGCCTAGGTTCACAGAGCAGGTGGAGGCAGCGGTAGAGGCTCTGAGTGCAAACCCCACCCTCCCCGTTGATGAGAACGAGTTCATCGACGCCTCCCGTCTGATCTACGATGGAGTCCGTGACATCCGCAAGGCCGTGCTCATGATCAGGGTGAGTACACAGTAGACTCTACTCTGTCTGCACTATTTCAGTCTCTCCTTCACTTAAATGGCTTATGGTAGAGAAATGAATATTATATTACAGTGAATTACTGCTTGGCGATGGTCTTGTAGCCCATTCCAGCCTTGTGTAGGTCTACAATCTTGTCCCTGACATCCTTGGAGAGCTCTTTGGTCTTGGCCATGGTGGAGAGTTTGGAATCTGATTGATTGATTGCTTCTGTGGACAGGTGTCTTTTATACAGGTAACAAACTGAGATTAGGAGCACTCCCTTTAAGAGTGTTCTCCTAATCTCAGCTCGTTACCTGTATAAAAGACACCTGGGAGCCAGAAATCTTTCTGATTGAGAGGGGGGTCAAAATCAATTTATAACATTTTTGACATGCGTTTTTCTGGATTTTGTTGTTGTTATTCTGTCTCTCACTGTTCAAATAAACCTACCATTAAAATTATAGACTGACCATGTCTTTGTCAGTGGGCAAACGTACAAAATCAGCAGGGGATCAAATACTTTTTGTCCTCACTGTATCTGGCAACAGCTCTGGTGGACATTCCTGCAGTCAGCATGCCAATTGCATGTTCCCTCAAAACTTCAGACATCTGTGTCATTGTGTTGTGACAAAACTGCACATTTTAGAGTGTGTGAGCGTGTGTGTGTGTGAGCGTGTGTGTGTCTGAGCGTGTGTGTGTCTGAGCGTGTGTGTGTCTGAGCGTGTGTGTGTGTGAGCGTGTGTATGTGTGAGCGTGAGCCCGTGTGTGTGTGCGTGAGCCCGTGTGTGTGAGCCCGTGTGTGTGTGTGAGCGTGTGTGAGCGTGTGTGAGCGTGTGTGAGCCTGTGTGAGCGTGTGTGAGCCCGTGTGTGTGTGTGCACTTTTAGGGAATTAGGCTGTGTGCAGTGAAGTGTGAACTCAAATAGCTGATGCTCTCTGCACCATATGTTTTTAATTTCATTAGTGTGTGTGTGGTGGGGGGGGGTTATTCATACATTATTTTATGAAACATATAATTTGGCCTTAATGCTATTAGCCCATAGAAACGCATTGAATACCATATTCATAAATGGAAAAACAGATAGTCCCAAAAAGTTATCAAAAGGAAGTTTTTCTATCCTGTATCTGAGAGACATAAGAAATAAATATTTTTTGGGCAGCTTCATTAAATAGTACCCGCAAAACACCAGTCTCAACGTCAACAGTGAAGAGGCGACTCCGGGATGCTGACCTTCTAGTTGCAAAGAAAAAGCCATATCTCAGACTGGCCAATAAAAATAAAAGATTAAAATGGGCAGTCGGAGATATGGCTTTTTCTTTGCAACTCTGCCTAGAAGGTCAGCATCCCGGAGTCGCCTCTTCACTGTTGACGTTGAGACTGGTGTTTTGTGGGTACTATTTAATGAAGCTGCCAGTTGAGGACCTGTGAGGCGCCTGTTTCTCAAACTAGACACTAATGTATTTGTCCTCTTGCTCAGTTGTGCACCGGGGCCTCCCACTCCTCTTTCTATTCTGGTTAGAGCCAGTTTGCGCTGTTCTGTGAAGGGAGTAGTACACAGCGTTGTACGAGATCTTCAGTTTCTTGGCAATTTCTCGCATGGAATAGCCTTCATTTCTCAGAACAAGAATAGACCTATGAGTTTTAGAAGAAAGTTCTTTGTTTCTGGCCATTTTGAGCCTGTAATCGAACCCACAATTGCTGATACTCCAGATACTCAACTAGTCTCAAGAAGGCCAGTTTTATTGCTTCTTTAATCAGCTCAACAGTTTTTAGCTGTGCTAACATAATTGCAAAATGGTTTTCTAATGATCAATTAGCCTTTTAAAATGATAAACTTGGATTAGCAAACACAACGTGCCATTGGAACACAGGACTGATGGTTGCTGATAATGGGCCTCTGTACGCCTATGTAGATATTCCATAAAAAATCAGCCGTTCCCAGCTACAATAGCCATTTACAACATTAACAATGTCTACACTGTATTTCTGATCAATTTTATGTTATTTTAATGGACAACATTTTTTATTTTATTTCGAAAAGGAAATGTCTAAGTGACCCCAAACTTTTGAACGGTAGTGTATGTGTGTGTGTATATATATATATATATATATATATATATATATATATATATATTATTTTTTATTATTTTGGAAAATTAATTTCATTTGTGACCTATATATTTGTTTTATAGTAAATGCTTGACAGTCAGGGATAATTGTAAATTCCTTAAAAACAATGAATTTAGCGATATTGATGCTGTTATGTTTGAGCAAAAGAACACAGCGTTAGCCATGACAAAATGCATGGAATTGCAGGAAATGTTCTTTAAAACTTCAAAATTCTGCACCACACCACTATGCTACTCCACAACCACACCACTCTGCTACACCACTATGCTACTCCACAACCACACCACTCTGCTACACCACTATGCTACTCCACAACCACACCACTCTGCTACTCCACAACCACACCACTCTGCTACTCCACAACCACAACCACTATGCTACTCCACAACCACACCACTCTGCTACTCCACAACCACAACCACTCTGCTACTCCACAACCACACCACTCTGCTACTCCACAACCACACCACTCTGCTACACCACTATGCTACTCCACAACCACACCACTCTGCTACACCACTATGCTACTCCACAACCACACCACTCTGCCACACCACTCTGCTACTCCACAACCACACCACTCTGCTACACCACTATGCTACTCCACAACCACACCACTCTGCTACTCCCCAACCACACCACTCTGCTACTCCCCAACCACACCACTCTGCTACACCACTCTGCTACTCCCCAACCACACCACTCTGCTACTCCCCAACCACACCACTCTGCTACTCCCCAACCACACCACTCTGCTACACCACTCTGCTACTCCCCAACCACACCACTCTGCTACTCCCCAACCACACCACTCTGCTACTCCCCAACCACACCACTCTGCTACTCCCCAACCACACCACTCTGCTACTCCCCAACCACACCACTCTGCTACTCCCACACCACTTGCTACTCCCCAACCACACCACTCTGCTACACTCCTCCCAACCCACACCACTCTGCTACTCCCCAACCACACCACTCTGCTACTCCACTCTGCTACTCCCCAACCACACCACTCTGCTACTCCCCAACCACACCACTCTGCTACTCCCCAACCACACCACTCTGCTACTCCCCAACCACTCCACTCTGCTACTCCCCAACCACTCCACTGTTACAGTAAATATATCCATGCCATGTCTGACTCACACAGACCCACAGAACATGAGACTGTAAGTCAGACAAACTGAACTCTCTATCACTCTCTGAAACGGCAGGTCCAGAGGGCATTACGTGCCCCAGCCCTCCCTCCCTCCCTCCCTCCCTCCCTCCCTCGCTCCCTCCCTCCTCCCTCCTCCCTCCCTCCCTCCCTCGCTCCCTCCCTCCCTCCCTCCCTCCCTCGCTCCCTCCCTCCCTCCCTCCCTCCCTCCCTGCATCCCTCCCTCCCTCCCTCCCTCCCCTCCGCCTCCCTCCCTCCCTCCCTCCCTCCCTCCCTCCCCCTCCCTCCCTCCCTCCCTCCCTCCCTCCCTCCCTCCCCTCCCTCCCTCCCTCCCTCCCTCCCTCCCCCCTCCCTCCCCCTCCCCTCCCTCCCTCCCTCCCTCCCTCCCTCCCAGCGCCCTCCCTCCCTCCCTCCAGGCAGCCCTCCCTCCCTCCCTCCCTCTCCCTCCCCTCCCTCCCTCCCTCCCAGGCCAGCCCTCCCTCCTCCCTCCCTCCCTCCCAGGCAGCCTCCCTCCTCCCTCCCTCCCTCCCTCTCCCTCCCTCCCTCCCTCCCTCCCTCCCTCCCTCCCTCCCTCCCTCCCTCCCTCCCTCCCTCCCAGGCAGTGGGTTTACACCCTCAATGGGAACAGACAGTTGTGTGGGTCTGGGGCTATTTAAAGATGGACAGTCTTTAACCTCTGGAAGTGGAGCTACTCCCAGGCAGCTCCAGCCTGTGTTGGTTACAGCCCGTGTCCGATGTCCCCTCCCTGGGGTGTCTGACAGAACGACATGCCCCCTCCTGACCGCCCATTGGGTCCAAGACGTCACTGGACTGGTAGAGAGGGAGCAAGAGGGATTCGAGAGGGAGGAAGAGGGATTAGAGAGGGAGGAAGAGGGATTAGAGAGGGAGGAAGAGGGACTTTCCACGGACTGACAGGCTCAGACAGAGCAGTTACAGTAGGCAGAAGGAGAGAGAGAGAGGAGCAGTCAGGGTTAACTGGACATGTACAATAGCTACTCTCTCTGCAGCCCGAGGCCGGTTCTGTAAGCAGGCGCAGGGTAAAGATAGAATCTCACATCTCCTTGTATGTCATCTACTGGTCCACTGTCAGGAGGTGGATTCAACTGTCAAAATGAGATGAAGGTTCTCATTGGTTGACCTTCACTGTCAATCAACGTGGGTGTCTAGTCTGGCTACCTGTGCCGCTAGTGTGGAGGAGGACAGTTAATCTAAACACTTAGAAGATGAGGTTTAGACGGGTTAATCAACTAGGCCATTCCTATCACGGCTGTGTGTGGGAGCACTCCTACATCCAGTGGATGGACAGAGAGGGTTGGTATCACAGATAGATGGACACACAAGCATCTCTATATATTCCATGGTGAGTGGGATGGTGGGTGGAGGTGAGACCTTGATATTCCATGGTGAGTGGGATGGTGGGTCGAGGTGAGACTTTGATATTCCATGGTGAGTGGGATGGTGGGTCGAGGTGAGACTTTGATATTCCATGGACTTTGATATTCCATGGTGAGTGGGATGGTGGGTGGAGGTGAGACCTTGATATTCCATGGTGAGTGGGATGGTGGGTCGAGGTGAGACTTTGATATTCCATGGTGAGTGGGATGGTGGGTCGAGGTGAGACCTTGATATTCCATGGTGAGTGGGATGGTGGGTCGAGGTGAGACTTTGATATTCCATGGTGAGTGGGATGGTGGGTGGAGGTGAGACTTTGATATTCCATGGTGAGTGGGATGGTGGGTCGAGGTGAGACCTTGATATTCCATGGTGAGTGGGATGGTGGGTGGAGATGAGACCTTGATATTCCATGGTGAGTGGGATGGTGGGTCGAGGTGAGACCTTGTGATAGGTTTTTACTTTGTGATCTGAATCGTTACCAACGGAAGATATAGAGACAGATAAGGGATGGGTGTAGTCAGTTGGATAAGCATGAAGTGAGTTGCAGCACAGGAGTGATAATGCACCCTTATCTCACTCCCTCTCTCTCCTCTCTTTCTCTCATATCACAACCACCAAATGGATTTTCTTGTCTGTCAGTTTTCCCTTCAAGCGAGGCCTTGCTAACTTCATGTTGTCAGCCATACTAATAGAGGAAGCAATATAGGTCTGTTGCATGCTTGGCATTCAGTAAGGGATAGAGGTATGTTACATGATTTTTTACGCTCGTGAACAAGTGTGTACACGCTGGAATTAGAATGCACAGGAGTGAATGAGAGAAAAGACTGGACGTGGGCGTCAACAGTGTCATAGCATGTCGAATTAGAGAGCAAGTATGTTTTTGTCACGTCTACGCGGAGCAACGCTGGTAAAATAAACACATTAATTGTGTGGGCCATTTGTAGAAGAGTAAATAGAGGAATTACGATCTTCCTTATGCTAAGTATACTAAGATGTAGTTTAAAATGTATTGGACTGGAAGTTAAGGTTTATCAGTCCAATAGGCTACGTATTTGAAAACAGTTGCAGCCTACCTGTGTTGATTTGGATCATAGGCATACAGCCCTAGGGAGGCTACGGCCGGGAAACTCAAAGAACTCAGATTTCAAGAGAGAATACTATTATGTAGACAGCCAAGTTCTTTATTAACTCCTTGGGTGTTCTAGCTACAACTCTCCTCACATTCGTGAGCTAACGTAACTGTTAAGCGCAGGTACGGTGGCTCCCGTAGGACATAAGTGAGTGGGATGGTGGGTCGAGGTGAGACGACGTGATATTCGCAAGGAATATTCTCAAGGAACACACAACACTAAATTAACAAGGGCTACATAGCGAACACAACAAATACAACCGTTTTATTATGGATTTTCATGACAATTAAATTGGCATATGCTACGCAGTGTATGTGAATTGACGCTCTCTTGCGCACCAATGTTTTCGCCGTGTGATTTGGCCTCACACCACACTGAGTGAAGACACTTTTAGTATGTGTTATGTGATCCCTGAGGGAATTGAACCCTTGACCTTGATAGTGCCACCCTCTTACCAACTGAGCCACACAGACAGGATACCACCATACTGGTTCTTCACTAGAAACCTCTACCCCTCTCTCCTCCTCCCTCTCCTCCTCCCCCTCCTCCTCCCCCCTCCTCCTCTCCCTTTACCCCTCCTCCCCCTCCTCCTCCCCCTCCTCCTCCTCCTCCTCCCCCTCCTCCTCCTCCTCCCCTCTCCTCCTCTAGTGATGCCAGGGCCAGGTGATGGTCTGATTGAAGCATTTTACTCCCGCTATGTTTCATCCTAGCTCTTAGCTTCATTTTCCCTCTCAAAATGCACAGACAGGACATTGCACTTCATTTACTAATTCATTTAGTGTTTGCAATTTCCCATGGCAGGCTGCTGGTGAGGAGGGGGAAGGAGAGACATCGCTCATGTGGACTGACTGGAGCTGGTCAGCACAATAACCTCATGCTGCTCCAACAGCTCTCTAACTCATTTGGTTTTCCTTTTTTCCTCCCCTTTCCTCTCACTCCCATTCACCCCCCCCCTTTCCGCTCATCTCCCCCTCTCAGAAAGGAGCCTCACGCCCCTCCTCCTCTCCTCCCTGGGAAAGGAGCAAGAAGGGAGAAGCAAGAGAAGACGAAACGCGAGCCAGAAGGAAGAAAGGAAGAAAGAGAGATCCTCTCCACTACTCCGTACTCAATCGCGTATCTCTCCCCCCCCCTCTCATCTCCTACCCTCTTCTCCTCTTCATCTCCTCCCTCTCTCCTCTCATTCTCCTCCCTCTTCTCCTCATACTCCTCCCTCCTCCCTCTCTCCTCTCATCTCCTCCCTCCTCCCTCTCTCCTCTCCTCTCCTCCCCTGTAGACTCCTGAAGAGCTGGATGACTCTGACTTTGAGACGGAGGACTTTGATGTTCGCAGCAGGACCAGCGTGCAGACAGAAGATGACCAGCTTATCGCAGGCCAGAGCGCCAGGGTGAGTCCACACACACACACACACACACACACACACACACACACACACACACACACACACCTCTCTTCCTCCACCCCCGCTGCAGGCCATCTCAGTGGGTAATACACCTTGTTCACACCAGGGCTCCATTGACCACCTCACAGATACTCTGGACTCTCCATTCAGACAGGCGTGGTTACCCAGACTCCCCCTCTCACATACTAGCTGCCAGGGCAGATCTGACAACATGTAAGGGTTAAGGCCAAGGGGGAGGGATAGGGAGTGAATCAGGACTGGCTGTGATACTCTGGACTCCCATTCAGATAGACACTGATAATGTTCTGATCTTTGATCTCACCTCACTCCAGTGTAAACCCAGTATAAACCTTCATTCCACAGGAAGATCTTCAAATATGATTTATTACTGGTCTGACTCACCTTGGAAACTCCCAGACCTTTCCAGGAAGGGAAGCATACTTGAGTTAAAACTGAGTAGTTTAAATATGGGATTAATGTTTCTGTGTTACGGTGGATTAGCCACTTGAAGGCCCTATGTCCAGATTAGTGGGTCTAAGCTGTTTAACATGGAAATCACAACAGAGGCTTAGAAGCCAGAGTTACTAAATCAGAATATTAGCTAGTGACTAGGCCATGTAGCTAATTCAACTGGATAAGTTAGTGAATTTAGTATTTAGTTGTTTGGCGCAGTGTGAATGCTTAGACAAGCCACTGGTGACAGTGGTGGTCCCGAATGGTCAATAGTAGGACAGTATAGTACACTACATGCATGCATACACACAGTGCCTTGGGAAAGTATTCATACGCCTTGACTTTTTCCACATTTTGTTACGTTACAGCCTTATTCTAAAATTGATTTAAAAAATAATAATAATCCCCTCATCAATCTGCACACAATACCCCATAATGACAAAGCAAAACCAAGATTTTAGAAATGTTTGCCAATTCAAAAAACACAAAAAATAAAACACGGTAATATCACATTTACATAAGTATTCAGACCCTTCACTCAGTACTTTGTTGAAGCACATTTGGCAGCGATTACAGCCTCGAGTCTTCTTGGGTATGACGCTACAAGCTTGGCACACCTGTATTTGGGGAGTTTCTCCCATTCTTCTCTGCAGATCCTCTCAAGCTCTGTCAGTTTGGATGGGGAGCATCGCTGCACAGCTATTTTCAATGTCTCTCCAGAGATGTTCGATCGGGCTCAAGTCCGGGCTCTGGCTGGGCCACTCAAGGACATTCAGAGACTTGTCCTGAAGCCACTCCTGCGTTGTCTTTGCTGTGTGCTTAGGGTCGTTGTCCTGTTGGAAAGTGAACCTTTGCCCCAGTCTGAGGTCCTGAGCACTCTGGAGGGTGTTCTTTAATGGAAGCCTCTCCAACATAATCCAGGTAGAATCAGGAATTCCCCAGGAAAGCTGTCTAGGCCCCTTACTTTTTTTCAGTCTTTACTAACGACATGCCACTGGCTTTCAGTAAAGTCAGTGTGTCTATGTATGTGGATGACTCAACACTGTACACGTCAGCTACCACAGCAACTGAAATGACAGCAACACTTAACAAAGAGCTGCAGTTAGTTTCAGAATGGGTGGCAAGCAATAAGTTAATCCTAAATATTTAAAAAAAAACTAAAAGCATTGTATTTGGGACAAATCATTCACTAAACCCTAAACCTCAACTATATCTTGTAATGAATAATATGGAAATTTAGCAAGTTGAGGTGACTAAACTGCTTGGAGTAACCCTGGATTGTAAACTGTCATGGTCAAAACATATTGATACAACCGTAGCTAAGATGGGGAGAAGTCTATCCATAATAAAGCACTGTTGTGCATTCTTAACAGCATTATCAACAAGGCAGGTCCTACAGGCTCTAGTTTTGTGGCACCTGGACAACTGTTCAGTCGTGTGGTCAGGTGCCACAGAGGGATTTAGGAAAATTGCAATTGGCTCAGAACAGGGCAGCACGGCTGGCCCTTGGATGTACAAAGAGAGCTAACATTAAT